TAATTAATGTGATGAAACATATAGGCACAGATGTCAACACCATGTAAACCGGATGTTCAATATGAGTTAGCCTTGAGAGCTAGCCAATCATAACCAGGATTTTCAATAAACCAGGTAATTGTGTACATATGGCACTAAAGGTTTTTAATAGATGAGCAGTAATAATTCAAAAAGTTGCACATTTTTTAATCACACCAAACTGATGGTAAATCATAAGTTACTATATATCAAAATAACTGCATAGTCTAACAAATATGGAGCTTAAGGATGCCAATGTATAACATTTATGTAATTTCAGGTGTCGGGTCTTGAATCATGGCAATGTACATATAAATTAGTAGAAGATAAACTCCGTAAAATATAGCCAATATGTAAAATTTTCTATTGTATCCAGTATACCAATAATGTTACTCCTTAAAGCATTATATTTACTCAATAATATTATAGGACATAGAAACTTCTTGCATTGCATACCCAGGTTAACAGAACATTTACTCAAATAGTTTACTTAAGTTGCAAATGGGAAATCATGGATTATGTATAGTAGCTGACAATCTGGGGTCAACCAATTCATTACAAAGTTATGGATTTAATTAGAATAATTTCATTATTAAATATGTCTTGTAATTTTCTAAATAAACTTATGCCAAAGATACATGTAACTTGTGTGTTCCCATTTTACAGTCATTATTCCCTCTAGTATCACATGAAATATGCTTGCCTGGTTTTTTTATAAACTAGCTTGGACTGATATGTAAAAAATGGAATCTTACTACTGAGTTTATACAGGTAAGCATAAAGGTGCATGAAATCAGAGAGAGATGAATGTCTAGATAATAATTTACTAGCAAACTACTTTATAGTGAAACAAATAGCTGAGAGTTTATATAAATGAAATGATAGACAATAATGTTGCTTTTATGATCTTGCTTACTTACTCACTGCAAACTTTATCATGACTATACTTATTATTTTTTACAAAAATTAATTAATATACTAGTTGGTGTGTGGCAATTTATGCAATGCCCAAACATAGCTTCAACATTTGCCATTGGTTCCTCTGAGAAGAGGCATAAAGCAGAATCTGTGTATCTTCTGCAAAGAGACATTTTCTGATTCTCCTGCTATTACTTCTGATGTGTTCTAGCTAACCACTTTATTTTCAGTGTGCAGAGAAAAACTTGATCATGTCGTTAACAAACTCTTGGAGCATGACTGGATTATTCTGGATGAGGAAGATACTTTTTGCTATCACTAAAACTACAGAGCTTGTTATTGTAAACCTACACATGTAAAAATGGTGGTAGAAAACTACAGAAAATACTTTCTATATAGTAGTAATAGTGTTGCTCCACATCTGTTAAAATGTCTCTACTAAGCATTCATTTGGAAACATGCAAATAATGCTATGCTAGATATAGCCTCATAAACAGTTTTTGGTTATGAGAGGGATGATAATGGTGCAATAAAACCCAAATTAATGAACCAAACAGAAGCTGCTCCAGAACTGCCTAAAGATCTTATATGTAGATGTACTTCCGATTCATGTACGAACAACTGTTCTTGTTATAAGCAGAACCAACCAAAACAGCTTGTTCTTGTGTAGTATAATAAAAACAATTCAGCTAATAGCTTGAAAAAGGAGGCCTTCTTGAATTTCACATGGAGTTAAGGGGACAGTGAATAACATTAGTAGCATGATATTATTAAATGTAAAATATTTTATGGAAACTGTGGATGATAGGAAAAACTGTGATACCTTTAAAAAAAACTATTATTCATCTTGAATCAATCTATCAATTTAACTGAAAAAATTATTCATTAATATTTGCATGTAATTTTTTGGGGTGGGGGGCTTATTATAAATACTGCAATACCAGTTAGTATGTGGACCTAGTGTGTGAAGAATTTCTTGAAAAAATACTTGTTTGGTGAAGCTCCAACTTTAAAAATGTGGTCAAAAGAATTAAATATTATATTCTTAGTGATTTGGAATCTTTACAAAATTATTATCTTTCCTTATAAGTTCCTTAAACAAATGTAACATTTAACATATACACAAATTAGCAAAGGCTTTTTTCAGTAAGTTTATCACATTACCTTCCTTCCAAACATCACTATAATAGTTCAAGAATGGGCTCATTTAATAGCAAGTAGAGACCACCAATAATCTTAATTAATATTTCTGTGAGGTGTAGTAAGTGATCAACATGGGGATCAGTAAAAGTAAACTGGAATTGCATCATTTTAACTTCTTTAATGGGCATAAAAAATTAACTAATAGATTACCTATTAAAGTAGACAATTGTTTTGTTCAAAAAATAAGTTGGAGAGTTAGTAGCATTCACTTCAAACCTATATTTATGACAGCAGAAAGTTTCAACATTAATAGGTCCTCATAGACAGTCTGCATTCTTCAGTACAGAACACCACTCGATATCACATTTCAGTAGACTTGCAGTCATAACTTAGTTTTGTCCAGGTATGTTAATGATTAGCATAATGTTTGAGGCAGTTTGACTGATTAAAAGATGCTTAACTTGTTAAAACTGAAAAAATATATACTGTCATTCCTAATAAATGTGCAGCAGAAAAAGCAATGTTGTTGGACTGATTTATTTTTGTTAAACTGTTTTTTCATACCCAAGTTCTAATTAATGAACCCTGTTAATAAATGTCATGTATAGATTTATGCATTTGATTTAGTGGTTTATGGTAATAAATAAATGGCAAAAACAAACTACTCAAAATTTTGCTGATCTTATTCAGAACAACTATTTAAATGTTCTTATCCAGTAAATCTGTGCATACAATCCTGATAGTTCCCAAATCCTCAATGATTCTTTCTTTAGAAATCTCCAGTATAAAAGCTTCAAAGCTCTAAACTTAAGTCCATATTTTGAACAAATTCTTATATGTCTCTGCCATTTTTCATGTAAATCAGTTTAATCAAACCTGAGAGCTCCTATTTCTGGTACTCCTCTATCAAGTCTTTTAAAAAACATATTTCTTCATTTACATTATATTGGAAATCAAGAGCCTACTTGAAAGATCTCGGATAATTTTTTCGAAAATTGTATGAGGAATTCAAAAATCTAATAAATATTTAGAAGCATGGTAATGAATCCAGCTAGAGGGTTGCATAAGCCCAGACCTTGACCTAACCTGACCCACAAACCAGGCAATAACAAAAAAGATCCAAGTCAGGCTTGGATGAGATGACTTTTGTCATACTTATTTATAAAATTTTGGGCTTGTTTTGCTTTTTGCTTGTTTTTTCAACTATTTACTTAAAAAATGTTAAGCCACACCCACAGCTGTAGCCAAACAATACTTATTTGGCTATTTCAAAATTTTTAAGCTCAGTATCAAAGGCACCACTTTAAGATCATCAAGTAAAGTGAAAACCTCAATTGATATGTAGTCGCAGTGGAACAGCGTGTATCAGAACTACATTTTGACACTGTTTGGCATTTTTCAGGTAGTGTGTTCAGATTGGGTATTTAAAATTTACAAGACTGGAATATCTCTGGTATTTAATAATATTGAAAAACAAAGGAATATGGATCAATTTGATGCACCAGGACCACCCAAAAGTAAACATACATTAAGTCATACCCCAGAAAGTTTGGCATTTTGTAACAGATGAGAATCCATGAACACAAATGTCAGTGATAAAAGTCATCCATGTGCCCCAGACAACAGTATGCAACATAATAAAAAAGGGCTTCTTTCCATCCAGAAACAAGGCCAACATGTTATGGATTCACCAAAATAAAGCTTCCACTCAAACTTCAAGCAGAGCTGCTTTGGACATAATAGCTTTAGCAATGGAAACTACTCTGCAGGTCTGTTGTCAAAACCTGCAATTGTCAGATAACACATCACTGGAAATGGACTGTTACAACATGGTGAGGCTCCCAAATAGCCTTAATAAATTAAATATACTCAACCCTCTGTATATATCTATTATCAGAACAGAGATCAAAATTTGTTTGTGTGTAAACATATATGAAAAGGAAACAACTATAGCAATGTCATTTTCTTTGGGATTTTTTTTTATATGTACAATAAACACAAGAAAGGCTTCACAAATACCAACCACAAAAAAACATATGCAACAATGCCAAAGTTAAGGTTGTGAATTTGTCAATTTACATTTTATTTGTTACATCTATATTTCTGTATTTCATTTTCAGGTTTTGTTTAATAATTTCATTGAACAAATTTTTGAATCATTTTTGTAACAGCCAGTCTCTCCTTTATTTCACAAACACAAATATTAAGTATTGAAAAAATAATATAGAAAATGTTTTGAACGTATTTATATCTTTAATTATACAAGTACAAAATGTTTAGAGTTTACATGCATGTCAAAATTACAGATTTGTGTCAAACTGAGTTGTCATCACCTGAACATAACAACCAGCTGCCTTTAAAGATTATAATTCTCATCAAAGTTATCTAAAGGCAGGTTTCAATAGATATCTTATAGCATGATCAGTTCTCACCTCTCGAGCAGCAAGAATAATTGTTGTTAACTGAGACCGGTCCCCCCACTCTGCTAGAAATGTCATAGTGAAAGACTGTAGAAAAATACGTGACAGGAAAACCATCAGCCTTCTTCGTATTGTTTTAATAGGTCCATTACTTATCACTCCTGTTTCAATATCTTGAATTTGGACAGTTTTGTCAAACTGTAATATCAAAATGAAAATATTAAACCCTAAATGGGCAATTACATAATGTTAAAATTTATTTCACATCACTTGTATAAAAAAAAAAAATTCAAATACTCACTGAAAAATTTACAGGATATTTTCTAATCAATATAGTGGTCCTAACTGGTAACAAACTAAAAACCTTTCATAGGGTGCATAAACAACAGCAACCTAGGAACCTTTCACAGGATGCACAAACAACAGCACCTAGAAACCTCTCACAGGATGCACAAACAGCAGCAATGTAGAAACTTTTCACAGTGCATACAAACAGAATAAACCTAGAAACCTTTTACATTGTACAAAAGCAGCAACCAAGAAACCCATCATGGTGCATAAAACAGTAGGAACTAAGAAACCTTTTACAGGTGTACAAACAACATTAACCTACAAACATTTTACAGTAACAGTAACAAATCTATAGAGGACCAAAAAAACTAGTCCTTCCCAGCCCCCACTGCAAAATACTTTTTCTTTAAAATCATAATATTAGGGTCAAACAATCACTAATCCCCATACAAGTATTTTTAACTACAAACAACTGTATGCTCTCATGGAGTGAACCAGTTTTACACAGCCCTCCTAGGTGCACACGTTTATGCAAAAGCTTCAAGACCCTCCAGATCATATATATATTACTATTTTAAATAATTATTTTTTTTTATAAAGCTTACAAATATAAAACTTTTTCTTTTCTATAATATTACAAGACTCACCTCACTGTCCTTTTTGTTTAATACATTTTGTACTTCTTCATATTCTTCTTTGCCTTCATTATGAGACATTAAATAACCTATTAAGAAAAAAACTTTTGTAACTTTGGTATTTTTGACCTTCACAATTAAACAAATGAATTAAATGTACAGAAGTAATACATGAAAATACATATTGTAGAAACAGGAAAAAAAAAAAGAAGACATATTAAAAAAATAAAAAATTTTTTTCAATTTTAATTTATGTATCGTACAGCTAATCTAAACCAAATGGTTACATTTTTCAAAAAAAAAAAATTAAATTTCAAACAAAAATCACACAGATACATGACTACTTATACTATTTCT